GTGCCCCAGTGTTTCTACAAGCCAGCTTTGGTGTGTATACAGCCCAAACCTCAAAAGAGCCTTGAGGTCTCTGGGGACCCTTCATGATGTTCTTATCTGTAGGAACCACTACTTCCCTGGCATGCCCAAGCCAAGTTCCAAGCAAGGCAGTAGGAATGCAAACAGGAAAAACCCAATCCCAGGTACCAGGGAGCTTTCCAGATTAATCTAGTCTCCTGGAAAATCCTGGTTGCAGGATCCTGAAGTCTTCCTGGCAAATAAAATCTTAAGTATAATGGAGGTTAATGGAATTCAGAGGAATCTGAACGCTTGGGGTTGACAGGAGGCCAACATTCCCACAGCCAGAAAAGAGTGATACAGAGGAGTTGATGTGCAGCCACTGTGCCAGGTCATGAAAATCAGCATAAGCACACTTACACAGATGATAAAAACCCAACAAGGAAGTTTGGCAGTAAAACTTAATGGCCTATCAAATCACAATCAGGACACTAAAACACAGTGGGTTGGAATCCTGCTCCGGCATCTAATCCTCCTCTGACTCTCCTGCAGCCCACGCAGCCAGGACATCCTGAAGGCCAGAGCCAGGACCCAGGGGCTGGGGTCAGACAGGCACCATTTATCACCCCTGGCTCCCCAGTTCAGGCAAGTGCCAGCAAGGGAGTGTTTGCTCAGCCAGATCTTTCTCTTCCTCTGACCTGGCCAGTGTCTTTATCATAAATTCTCTTGCTAGAAGTGTATCCCTTACCCTTAGTATCTTGTTCAGGGAGCAGAGGAAGTTGATGCTGGAAGAAAAACTCAGAATGATATTAGAAGAACTTTAGGGTATAATATCCACAGATAGTTTCCATAGATGTTTCCCAGACCTAGTAAGGAGCAGGGAGACTATATAAATGGTGGAGAGATGGGGGGGGGGGGGGATAGGGGGGCCGTAGAGGGGGTATGGAGGGGAGGGGGCATGTGCATGATACTTGGCTTGACTGCCAGTTATGCTGATAGAGGTGTTTAGTCAAACCAGAAATTATTTAGGTATAAGGCATATCCTTCGCCCAAAAAGAATTTAGTGCAGTTGAGTATAATTGAGAAAATTTATGGGTAAATGATGGGGTGAGTTTCCTTTGGATTAGATGGTCAGGGTTTTTTCTATAAAAGAGAAATTTGAGTTAAAGCCTGAAAGATATGAAAGGGTGAGCCATGCAACAACTAGGGGGAAGATGGTGTTCCCAGCTACCTCGTAGTAAGGGCCCCGAGGTTGAAATGAACATGGTGTGATGGGAGGAGAGAAGAAGGACCACAGGCTACAGTTCACTGGAGGGAGGGAGCAGAGTTGTGGAAGGTAGAAGGTCAGCTGATAAGGAGTTTGAGTTTTGATCTACTCTTGCTGGGAAACTGTTGAAAGCTTTTAATTACCAAGGGAATTTGATCTGATTTATGATTTGACAAGATGCCTGACTCTCTCCTAAATATCAGAAAGCAGCAATATGACAGCCACAAGGCAGTACCAAGTTAAATGCCATCGAAATATATGAATAAGAAGTATTTTGTAGGTAGAAGAGCAATGAGTCATTCAGTGGGGCTAGAATGAACTGGAGATTCAAAGCAGGGGCCGGTGGCCAAGCGGTCACTCAGCCATGGAGAGGTCTCGTCCATCAGGACAGAGGCTGTGATTAAATGGGGTGGTGCTGAGGTACAAAAGAAATTCAGGGAAAGCTCTGTCTTGTATGCCTTGTGGGGCTGCCCTTTGCAGGGAACAAGCATTCTTTTTATTTGGGCGAGACCTGGGAGATGAGGCCGGAAGTCCAGGAAAGAACCGTGAATACAAGCTAAAAAATGACGATGTTTTCCTGACATACTCAGCTACCCTCCCAGGGCTGTGACAGACATCGTGGAGTGACCACAGTTCTCCCTGGTGAGCACCGCGCAGTCTTAGGAATCATCTCTGGCCTGTCGCTGATAGAAGCTGGCAGGCAATATGGGGCCTATTTGCCATCCCAGCAGGGCAGTGCATCAAAGGGCTGATGGAGGTGAATTGTCGCCTCTCCAGGGGTCCTGTCACATTGACTGGGACATTTTAGACAGAAACAGTGGTTTGCTTTGAATGGCAAAGGCTGGCTTCTCTGGGTCTTCCTTTCCCCTACTCCCACTCCAGTGCAACTGCCTTCCTTGGCCATGGGCCCTGCTGGCACTGACTTGACAACACCATTCATATCCTCTTTAGGAGTGAGGATGGTCAGGGGAGCATCTTTTGCCTGCTTCTCCCATCTTCCACAGAAACACTTGGAGCCTGGGTCTCCTGAGACCTGCCCAGGTGTCCTCCCATATGCACTGCTATGCTACGTCAGCCTCATTCAGGCCACTCACTTCCTCCTCTGCAGGGTACACTGAACTCATGGGTGCTGGGCTCCTTAGAAGCAGCAGTGTCTCTGAGCTTCCTTTTCTTGCAGTCCTTAATGCAGGATGAACCCCTTTACTCTGCCCCAGTTGGAGGAGATCAGTCTTGGAGAGGAGAGTGGGGGTGGTCACCTGTGGCAGGGCTCAGGGAACTGTCAGCCTGGAGGCAGGCCTGGGGGCGTCCTTTTAAGTTGTAGAGCCTTTTCATCCTGCCATAAGTCCCAAAGTTTTAGTGAGAACCAAAAAAGAAAAAAAAATTTAAGTCAGTATGTTTTATGTTAAGTCAGTAGAATCTTCCCTAGGATATCCCATTTTCTCCTGACCTGTAGATTGGTGTGGATGGACACCAGACCCTGGACACCTGTGGGGACAACGCTGTGTGTTATTCTACTGTTCCTCCCACAGGAAAGTGACTGCTTTAGAGTCAGACTTTCCCCCAGCCTTGTCTTGTTTGCCTGGGGCTATGTTCAGGAGGTCCAGATCTCTGAAGTTATATGTAAAATTTGGAATTTATACACATCAGTACCAGAGAAGGGGAGGTGCTTTTGTTAAATTCTCCAGTGTCAGCACCCGGGAGACCCTGAGTCCTGCCCTGAGCTGAGGAAGATATTGTTTTGCTGCTGTTCCACCACTGCCTGAAAGGAGAGGCCCATTGGGTGTCCTGAGCTGGTTTGTGAACTGCATGTTTTCCTTCGGGGCTGGTTCAGTGAAACAGAGGTGTTCTATATTCTGTTGAGGTATATTCTGTTAAGTGGACTTTCATGGTCACTTTTTTTTTTAAAGATTGATTTATGTATATAAGAATCGGGGTGTAGGCCAGAGGTGCAGAGGGAGAGATGAGAGGATTCACCAGAGACAGAGTGGGAAGAGGAACAGGCAGATCTACTGAAAAACACTGCTGAGGGGTACAGCTGGCGAGATGGGAGAGTTCTACTTCTCCCTGGCTGGGGATTGAACTCACGCTGCAGTGGCTGCAATAGCTGTGCCACCAGGGAGGCCCCTCATGGTCACTCTTGAGGATCTGCATAGAATCTGTGTATGAAATTGTTTCTGTGGGGTAAACACATTTCAGTTCTCAACAAAGAACTAAAAATAAAAGAGCCTTTTTTAATCTGATTGTTTAGGAGTGACAAATAATTGTGATAGTGCTGAATGTTCACTTCTGGAAAGTAATATTCTTATATTGCAATATCATGATGACCTTAAATCTCTGTAGTTCATGGGGGCCCCATGTGGATTCTAGTCAGACCCTGAACCCCTAAAATCATATGTGACACTGTGTATAGTTCTGGAAGGAGGTTTTACTACTTTCATTATGATTTTTTAAAATATCTGACTCTGGGGGAGCAGAGTGTATTTGAGCGGGTAGCTTAATAACTTCTTTCATGGAGACAGTAAGGCCAGGCAGCTGCCCCATCCAGCCTGAGGGCCATCCGTTGGGGGTTCAGGAGCTCATTGGTTCCAGATGAACCAATAGGAACACATCTGGGGTCCCTTGCCTTCCTTGGTTTCTGGCAGTGGAATTGCACCCTGCTTAATGAGTCTGCTTTCCTCTGTGGCTGCCTCAGCCATCTTCATCAGGCTCTGTCCCTTGTCACTTCCATATGTCCTTCCACTTGCCTCCTCCAAGAAATCTCCAATCCCTGTCACCCTAGCTGTTGTCTACTAGTTATTTAATTAGGTCTGTTCTTTTCATTGCTGACCAGTAAATATTTATTGTGTGTCTATTAAGTAGCTACCCCTCTTGCCTCTTGGGAGAGAGGGAGGTATGGCAGTGGTGTGGCCCTGGGAAGCACACTCCAGCCAGGTTACTTGGTTTCCAACCCAGCTCTTTGACCTGTGGCTATGTATGTCACCTTGGGCACTTGGTTTTCTCATTTGTGAAGTAGAAATAATGTCAATTGCTATGTTGCAGGGTAATTTTTTAAATTTTATTTTTATATTCCCCATACAATTGCAACCCCCTTATTTTGACCCCAATCCCTCCTTTCTCTGCTCGCCCCCCAATAGTGTGTCTCTGGCTCATAGCTGTTAGTTGATTTTGATTTTTTTCTTTCTTATAGTTAATCTCTTTCCTGGTCCCTTATTTAGGTTTTCTAAATTCCTGCTATGAGTGAGACCATCCGGTATTTTTCTTTTTCTTTTTGGCTTATTTCGCTGAACATGATCCCTTCCAGTTCCATCCATGTTGCTGCAAATTGCATGTGTTTATCTTTTTTGAATGCTGAGTAATAGTCCATGGTGTATATGTACCACATCTTCTTGATCCAGTCATCTATTTTTGGGCATTTGGGTTGTTTCCAAAGCTTAGCTATTGTAAATAGTGCTTGCAGGGTAAATTTTTAAGTGCTTAGAGCAGTATGTGGCATATGGGTCCTATAAGGTATTGCCAGTTAAGGTTAGTAGTTATTTCATTTTTGCCTCTTGGGCCTCCCTCACCCACCTTTCAGTTGATTGGGTAAAAGGTTTCTTTTTTCTGAACTGATGTGCATTTTCCTTTTCTCTCAGGTACCCCTGATGTCTGGGGAAAGGGCTAAGCCACAGTACAGAGGTGGGGACATCACTAAGGCCTATATGCCTTGGGAATAGTCACTCTTGATTTCTTCCCACAGGGTGTGGACACTGTAAGAAAATGAAGCCAGAGTTTGAGAATGCAGCAGAAGTCCTCCACGGAGAAGCAGACGTAAGCTTCCTGTCCTCCCCCTCTCCCACCTTTATCTTCTAAAGAGCCAATGATGTGAATCATTACAGCTTCCCCCTGCAAGCCCTGTAGAAGCTTCCTGGAGGTCTGTGGTACTTCTGTGTCCCTGAGTAGACATGCCTAAGTCAGACGTGAGGGGCTCTACTAAGGATGGAGGGGTGTAGACAGAGTAGGGGGTTATGGCTCCATACCCTACCAGGTAACTTCAGATAGGCCATGGCTCTGGGGTGAACATCCAAGGTTCTTCTTTGCTCTGAGACCCTGGCTATTGGGAACAGCTCGGTCAACCCAGCCTAGTTGGTAGCGCAGATTTAACATTTCCATCTCAGCCCACAAGTGAGAAATGATGGATATGCCAAAGTTCAATTATTCCCTGGGGTTTATGAGCCTGGGGCCTGTGACCCCAGTGATTCTGGCAGGTTGAGTGGGTTGGGGCTGGCATCTGGGCTCTACTGTCTGCCAGCACCGCGTCTGAGGCTGTCATGCATGGTTGGCCTCTCCCCCATCCCAGAGCTCTGGTGTCCTTGCAGCTGTCGATGCTACTGTCAACAAGGCCCTGGCAGAAAGATTCCACATCTCTGAGTTTCCTACACTGAAGTACTTTAAGAATGGAGAGAAATACGCAGCACCCATGCTCAGAACAAAGAAGAAGATTATTGAGTGGATGCAAAAGTAAGTTTGTTCTTCATAGCACATCTTGACTCCTGGCTGTCAGCCCCTGGAGACAGCCTGGAGGAGATGATGTAAATCTTAGGGGGCACTGACTTCGACTCAGGACCAGGGGAGCCGAGACAGATTTGACTTCTGCACCTGAAGCCATCTCTGTTGTGCTAACCACAGGTCCTCCCCGAGCAGGTCCCTGGTAGCCTCCCCGGTGCTGTTTCTTCAGCTCCAATAAGCTGTGAGTCTTTCCCCCCCTCTCTGAGGCCTAGGTTTTGCTGTGTGTATTTTATTCCATCCCCTTTAAAGGAATGTAAGAAACACGAAGTTCTTCACATTAGAGCTGTACTCATTTAATTCCAGGCTTGCTAGTGGTTGACTGGGCCTTTGGTAATATCCTGCCTGTGGTCGTTAGTGTGTGAGAATAAAAATTTCAAAGAGCCCCTTCAGCCTGGGTATTGCTTTGCTAGGACTGCCTCAACAAGTAGCATAGACTGGGTGGCTTAGCAGCAGTTTCTTCTCTCACAGTTCAGGAGACCGCAAGTCTGAGATAAGAGGTTAACAGGACTGGCTTCTTCTGAGGTCCTCCTCCTTGGCGCATCTTCTCTGCATCCTTACAGGCTCTTTCCTCAATTGCTGTGCCCTAATCCCTTCTTAGAAGGATGCCAGACATGTTGGACTAGGGTATGCCCTACTTGAGCCCATTTAAATTACCTCTCTAAAGACTATCTCCAAATATAGGCCCCAGTGACCTCATGATTTCTATTCTACGGACCCCCTACTCACCCAAGGACTTTGGAACCTGTATTTCTAACATTTCCCCTCCTGTGAAGGGACTGTGCCATCACACAGATGCCCTGGAAATGGAGGAAACCATACTTAAGGGATGAAAATTGTTAATAGGACACAGTTGAATAAGCTTTCTCCTGCACACACTCCTCGGCACACATGCAGATGTGCTTACTCATACATAACTCAAATATTCAAGGAAATTTCCTCATTCAAGTATTGAGCGTAAAAGAAAACATATCTCAGCCTTTTCATTGGTTCCTGGAACATGGCATAGTGATGCCCATGTGAGAACCAAGACTTTGGCATCACAAAGCAGCATGAGAACCATGAAAAATAACAATGCTATGTGATCATGTTACTTTATTAAGACATTGGTCTTAAAACTTTAATGTATATAAGCATTATCCGGTATTGGGGTGCTTATTTGAAGTGCAAATCCGGGGACTGTTGTCCTGGATGTTTTGATTCAAGATGTGTGAAGGGGATGTTCAGCTTTCATGTTTTGAGAAACATCAGTTTTTGGAATGGGAGCAAAGTTACCCATAGGTTCAGGAGAGGCCCTGGCATAAGGAGATCAAGCTAGTGAGGTCCTGGTCTTGGCCTCTCCCACCTTGTCCTGCACATCGCTGAGGGTGGATTCTAAGAGTAGCTGTGCCTTTGTTGTAGGGAACAGGGAGGCATGATGATTTGCCTCCAAAAGGAACAAGGTACCCACTCCTCCAGGTCTTGTGGGGTCCGAAGCAGACTACTATTCACACCGCTGGTCCAGCCTCACTCTGGTACTAGACTGGTTCATCGGGAGGGCCTGAAACAGGTAGAGGTTTAGGCATCGTCCTTGGATAGAGAGCTAGGAAATCTAGAACCTTAATCTTGGCTGATATGTGCTTGGGAGGCCTGGCCACAAGTAGTGAGCACCAAGATATCTGCCCTTTCTGTGCCTGCTTGCTGCTTCTGAGCCCCGAAAAGCACTGAGGGCGAGAGCATGGGTTTGGGGGTCTGAGAGATCCGCACTAAGATCATGACCGACCCCAGCCATGTACTTATTGACCCACTAGGCCCCAGTTTCCTGTCCACAAAATGGAAAAAGTACTTTTCCATAGTCTTGCCTAGAGAATTATAGATAGAACAGACTATTGAGCTTATTGGATGATGTGCTATTGAGCACAGTGGATGATGTGAAAATACTCAGAGGATAGTCTTTTTATTATTCATGCCAGCTTTCATGTGGAGCTTTAACCATTAGCTCACCACCAAAGCGATAGTACCTGCCCAGCTTTGCAGAATGCTTTTGCATCTGGCGACCCATTTCCTCCTGAATCTACTGAGGCCAGAAATTTTATTCTATTTCCTTGATGAAGAAACTTAGGTTCACTTTGGTTAAGAGCCTTACCTAGAGACAAATAGTCATTCTTTTGGGTTCGCAAAGAACCCTTCAGGCGGAACGTGAATGACAGATGGCTCTGAGATGGAGCATTGAGACTTGTCTCCCAGAAGCAGGGTGAGCAGACGGCGTCTGGAGAGGCTGATGGTGTTTCCAGGCTTGCTCACAGGTGGCTGCACTGTGGGTAACTGAGCTGTGCCTGCCAGCAGGCCTGCCTGGGAAAGTGGGATTCAGGCTCCAAACAGAGCAGAAAGGTCAGGCGGGCACCGACAACCACAGAGCCAGAGCTCACGACAGGGAGCCTGGAGGATAAAAGGAAGAATACAGGAAGGCTGGGGGCCTAGGGGAGAGGTGGGAACCACGCAGGGTGATTCATGCTGCCCTGTGCTGGGTGCAGGGATGGATAATTCAGGAGAGGATGTCGGGGCACTAGGTACACACAACTCCCCAAGAACAATTCTCAGAAAAGGATGAGAGAAATGTGATTATAGATGGGGGCAGGGGAAGGGGGCAGCAAAGGTTTTTGAAAACCTCTGGACTCTACTTGTGTGAGGCAGAGTGGAAGGAGCCACTGGACAGGAAGAGACTGGAAAGTTATAAAAGCTTATTGAATGGCTGTCATTTATTAGAGCATATAGGCTTTCAGAAACAATCAGTCTTGACAGAACGCATGCTTCACATAAACCATCTCTGCTCTCCGTTAGGCTGCAGGGAAGTAGGTATTATTGTCCTCATTCAACAGAAGGAAAACTGGAAGCTCCAGGGTTAGTAACTTACCTAAGATTACATGTCTGCTAAGTTGTCTGGATTTGAATCCAGATCCATCTCACTCCCTGGCCCGTGCTCTCTGTACCTGAACAAAGGCTCAGGAGCAAATGATAAGGGAGGGCCCTTTGAGGTCCCAGAAAAGGTAGGCGGCTGGGGGAGCAGAGTTGCTTAGATGCCCATGGAAAGGAGCTAACAACCCACACCTAAAAAGATTGCCCTGCCCTGAAATGGGCTCAGGTCTTCCACACCTTCACAAATGGCTTTTTAAAGTTGCCTCAGAGGGAATCAGAGTATCTTTGCTATAGCACAGATTTGTTTGTGTTTAAACTGAGGTTTTACAATGGACTTTTAGATAGAATGCAGAGATTTCTTCATGTGTGCTCCCCCAAGTGTGTGTGTGTGAGGAGGAGGGGGTGCTTGCTCATTCACTAACCTCTTCTTATGGCTCTCTCCCCTCACCCCTGCTCCCTGCAGCCCTGAGGCCCCTCCACCCCCTGAGCCCACCTGGGAAGAGCAGCAGACCAGCGTGTTGCATCTGGCAGGAGACAACTTCCGGGAGACCCTGAAGAAGAAGAAACACACCTTGGTCATGTTCTATGCTCCTTGTAAGTAACTGGGCCACTTCCTCAGGGGCAAGGTAGAGGAATGCAGCCCGACAGAACTCTGGGCTCAGTTTGTGTCCCTGATTTCATTCCAGACTAAGAGATCCTTCAGATTCCAGGGTCTCCTCTCTCAGCTCTGTCAGGTTCTTTCCCTCAATCTGGGAAATCTTTCTCATGTCAGTGCCGAAGCCCTCTACTTCTGTTTGTGGCAGGGACCTCAGTCTTCTTGTGTCCCTGGGGTCTTCCAGGCTGCCTGCCTCCCTCCTGGCCACTTCCTTCCACCCCTTGACTCCCTCCTCTTCTACAGGCACTGAATGTGCCTCTAAACCTTGAAATTTAGCAATGTGTACTTTAGCCTCTGCTTCCACCTCTTTCCTGAGCATCTCTGCCTGGCCCCCTACAGCTGACCTTCCAAGTGGCTGTGAGGCCACTAGGTGGGAAGCTGTGGTGAAGGTTCAGTCACATTAATTCCAAACCCTCCCCCAACTTCTGTTTTAATCAAAGCTTAAGTTGAGGAAGTGACACATCTGCTAACATAGGTGTTTGTGACCTCTGTTTTTTGTGTAATCCCATTTTGAAGTTGTGAATTGAGACTTAAAAGGAAAGACTCAAATTTCCCACCCTTCTGTTGCCTTTCTCTCCCCACCCCGCCCCAGGTTACAGCTCAGCTTAATGGAGTGGGGATAATAAAAGCTGCACTTATAGAGAAACCAGGCAGCTCAATCAAGTCATAAACCCGCTGGGTTGTAGCCAGCCCTCCTGTTTGCACCCAGCCTACCCCCACTTTTCAAGTGTCAGTAATCCATAATGTCTCTTCTCCACTCTCACTGTGTGGGAGGGGTTTCTCCTGGCCCCGCCACCCCCGGCCTCAAACCCAGCCCTCCAGACGCTAACATATCGCTCGCTAACATATTACCTTTTCTTATCCTAGTGGAACTTGTTCTCTCTCAGTTTGTTACAGAGCTTCTTGCTGTCCTCATCTGTCCTTGGAACATGTCTTGAAGGCTGAGTGGATTTTAAGAAGTTAACATCTTCCTTCAGGGCAGAGTGGGGCACAGATCCAAGACCTGAGAGATTCATGACTTGCCCAGGGCCTCAGTGTTAGTGACAGTGCGCCTCCTTTCTCTCTGTCACAGACTGGAAGAGACTCAAGTAAGAGCTTTCTCAGCAGCGAGTTAGAACCCGGCCCTAGAAGTCCTTGAACAGACACTGGATAGACTTTAGAAAGTCCAGTTGAACTGCTCCCCCTCATTTCCCCCAGCCCTCTGGACCTGAGCAATGGCCTCTCTAGCTCTTTTGGACTGAGGGGCTTTCATGATAGATAGGAAAGTCCCACTGATCCTGGGACAGATGTGTTCCTAAATCCCCAGAGATTTGGGAGTGGAGCCTCCTACCTTGTTGGGGTGCCAATGATGTCTCTCCCTCCCTCAAATAGTAGCTTTATGCTGCATGGTATCTTGGGCACTGGATACAAAGGCAGGGGCAGGGTCCTGCCACACCTCAAGTCAAGGATCACTCTGACAAGAGACATCTCTAAACGAAGTGCATTCAGGCCCAAGTCACTGGTCAAGAGTTTGGCAGCTGGAGTCTCCCGTCTACCTTACTGCACTTCCCTGAACTCTGCCGCTGACTCCTGAAATGTGTTCATCAGCAGGCAGAGGGGGCGGGAGACAATTCAAAGACAACCAACCTTTTAAAATGTTCCAATGATAATTCCTCACACAATATTCCTCTGTACTTGAGCAAAATGTTAGAAGAGCAATTTTAAAATGAAGGTTTCAGGGCCTCCCTGGTGGTGCAGAGGATAAGAAGCAACCTATGAAGCCATCCACAGCCACTGCAGCATGAGTTCGATCCCTGGCCAGGGAGGTGACCCACATGGCACAGCAGACCTCTCCTGACTCGCCCGCTGCTCCCCTCAGCAGTGTATTTCAGTAAATCCACCTGTTCTGCTCCCCACTCTGTCTCTGGTGAATCCTCTCACCGCTCGCACCTTTGGCCTGTGCCCCAGTTATTGTATGCATAAATAAATAAATCTTTAAAAATAAAATAAAATGAAGGTTTCAATAAAAATAAGGGAAGGAAAAAGGAAAAAATTTTTTCAATGATAAAAATAATATATACTTACAATATTTAGTATATAATATATACTTATATATAAAGAATCTAAATACTAAGAATGATCAAACATACCTAATAAAGGTAGGTATAAAGTAAAATGCAAAAACCTGCTCCCCATCTCTCCTCACCCCACATACCCCTCCTCTCCTATTCACTACATAAATCTTCTCTGCTACTGCTTTGTTCTCTCCTGTTCCGCACCCCATCTGCTTGGAATATTCTGGCATGGTGACTGCCCATCTTAGGCCAATATGGCTGAGTCTCTAGAAATGGAATTTTCTGTCCTGTCCTCAGACTTTGTTCCTCTCTCCCCACTGTGGAGGGCTTCCTGCTACAAGAGGTGGTGCCTTTTTTTTTTAAGAGCCAAAATTACAAAGTCTTGCCTCTTGTGAGGCATGTTATAAGCATCTTTCTGCCCTTTCTGTAATAGCCTCCCCTTCTGAATACATATCCTCCTTTTCTAACCACAAAGTTCCCTCTCCACCCTGGATCAGGTTCTTCCTAGCTCTGGTGGCAGTCCCATGTGGAAAGAGCTTGTTGAGCAAGCTGAGGGGTCTCCTCCACTCTCAGCCCACTTGGACTGGTGAATGATGGGGGGTGTGGGATGGGAGGAGTGAACTCTGGGCAGGGGTAGACCAGATGGCTGCAGTTTGGACTCCTATAGTCCTCAGCTGACAGCAGATGCACAAGGTGGTGCTTTGAACGGCAGGGCTGATGTGTGGACCCTTATGTTGGGATGGGCAGGGGTTGGGAGTCAGATGAATCCCTAAAATCTGTTGTGTGGGGAGAAGCTCCTGGAAAGGCTTCTCTGAAGACTCTGGCAAGGCCCCTGGCAACATTCCCTCCTTCTCTCACGCAGGGTGCCCACACTGTAAGAAAGTCATCCCGCAGTTTACTGCCACTGCTGACGTCTTCAAAGATGACCGGAAGGTAAGGACACCCCTCCTTATCACTTGTCCCACCTCCAACTTTGCCCTGCCACCAATTCTTGGACTTTCCTCCCTTCCATGCAGGTCGCCTTCCCAAACAGATTCTGCTGGGGATTCCTGGAAACCAGGATATTTTTTAATAAGGCTAGATAGAGCAAGCTGAATTTAACTGCAAAATCAACTTAAAGGGATACACTAAACTGTTTTAGTCCTTCCTTGGAAGGGAAAATGGCCAAAGGGTCATCTACTTAGTATATTTTTGGTACTTGAACCCTGTTACAGTAGTAGTTGTAGTCACACATTACTTATATAATTAAAAATACAAATAAAATTGTCCAACAAAAGCCAACTGGAGGCGGCACAGTGGAGGAGAGCAGCACAGCTTCATCCTGCCTAAGTGAAAGGCTCCTGTAGCTGCCAGCTGATACAGCATAAAATTAACAAGCAGGAACTACAGACTGGATTAGAGTTGGGGAGTGGGGGCCCCCACACCAATACCCCAGGCAACTCCAATTGCCAGGGCAGTGCTGGTGGAGGTGTGGTTGGTGCTACTTGGCTGCTGCTAAACTGTGTGATCTGGGAGAAGTGGTAACCCTCCAGGCCTGGAGTTCCCTTCCCTAAAGTCACGGTGCTCATCCAGATGATCTCGAAGACTCTTCCCAATCTGATACTTGGTCATAAGAACCTCTCCCCAGATCCGTCCCGGAAACACACTCACATACACCCAAAACCAAAATCACATTAGCTCTTCCTTCTTTTCCTGGTAGCTTCCTTAGGTGGGGCTGGGGCATGCTGGATACTCATGCCAGCACATCCTTGAGTGGGCCCTGAGGGAGTGCCGGACTTGGAGGGTGAGAGCTGGTCCGAGGCAGCAAGTTTGAGGAAGACAGGCTGGGGCATAGGCATGTGTGTGGAGAGCGAGGACAAACTGGGGACTCAGATCCTAGGTCCTTTCCCTGTACTCAGGGAGCCCTGTTGTCACCCATAAGCCCTGGAGGTGCCCTGAGAAGCAGTTTAAGAATAAAAACGTTTTCTTCTCTCACTTGGCTGGCATCGAGAGGGCCATGGCAAAAGGGCTTCCCATCTTCCATCTCCTTTCCTGCCCCACCCCCGTCTGCCTCCCAGGGCCTATGCACAGGATAAGGTGGTTGCTTCTGCTCCGGGAGCTCCAGGCAGGGACGTCTAGCACATCTGGGCTGTCAGTGCCTATGGGGCTTCTCACAACCTGAATGTTAGTTGGTGTGGGGAGGTCTTTATACCCTGGAGTCAGGATTAGATTGGCAGTCAGTCCATGTCAACCCCCATCACCCCTCACCATAACACTGGGTACTGTGGACAGAGAGGAGAGTGGCTGAGGTAGGGGTTCCCCCTTTGTGAGGGGATGCTGAGGCACTGCTGATCTGCAGAGCCTGGGCTTCCCTCATTGGGCCTTGCTGGTGTCACCTTGCTGGTACCAGATCCAGAGTGGCTGGGGAAAGCCGGGAGCTGGTTCAACTTTTGACATGACTCCTTTTTCCCAACCACCACAGAGGCTGTGATCCTGGGGGCTGCTCTGTAACCATAGGGAAACATTGTCTCTGGGCTGGGAGGCTAATGTTGCTGAGTGGCAACTGTCAGATCTGAGTTCTAGGAATTCGTGATTTTTAAGAGCAGGATCTTATGCTGAGCACAGGTGGGTATTTGGGAACTACTAGCCTGCCCAGCCTCTCCTGCTCATGAAGGGTCATAGTGTAGAAGGAGCTGTGTCCCATGACCGAGACCATCTAGTGGGTCACTGTCAGCCAGAACTAGGTCTTCTTCCTCCCAGCTCTTCCTGATACCCTGTGCTGCCGCCTCTTAGCCAGAATTGTATTTTCTTTCACCTGGAAGCCAGTCCCTGTTTCTTCCCCAATCAATATGCAGTTGGTTGTTCACTTCCATTTCCATAGCCAAAGTCAATATTAGCTCCTGCAGAGATTTATTTTACTGAATCAATAAAGCCATGCGAGGCAGCTCATATTTTAGCTGGGGAGCCTCCATCCCCTCCCAGGAGCTTGCTGGGGAACTTTAGCAGTTGACATGCTCAGTGGTGAAAGGGCTGCACGCTGGTTATGTTAGAACGATGGCCACATGGAAGGGGCTGTGGAAGACCAGAACCTGAGGAGGAGGACTGGCGGGTGCTGGCAGCGCTCAGGGGACCCCTGGGCTGGCAAGATGGGTCTCATCTCTCACTGCACATAAAGTGTCCCCAGCTCTGACAGTGGGGGTGGGAGACAATAGTGCCATCCTAGGCAAGAGTGAAGGTCATCCCGGGGGGGGGGGTCAGTGGATGCAGTGGGAGCCCCTCCTTTGTCATTAGCCCTGAGGCTGCTTTAACTAGACCAGTTTTACTTAGTCCCTTGTGTTTACCAGACTGTCCTTCTGGAGGAAAAAGTCCTTGAGGGCAGGGACCTCATTTATCCTTGAATTCCCCATACTCTTGACACCTGAAACCTCTATTAATGTTGACTAAATGAGGGAAAAATAACAGATTTGATATTTCCTGAGAGCTCTTAAAAAGCACGATATCACGTGTCTTCACAATAGCCTAATCCACTAGGTACTATTCCTGTCCCACTTGACAAGTGAGGAGACTGAATCGCAGAGAGGTTAATGACCTTTCCACATGGAAAGGGATAGTGTCCAGATCAAATAAATAAATAGATATCATCAGAATTCTCCCAGAAATGAACTCAGGGCTTGGGGGTCTCACTTTCAGGGAATTTATTTGAGAGGAGGTCTCTGGAAGCAGGCAAAGAAGTGGAGGAAGGGAGACCAGACAAGGTAGGAGTAAAGCAGGTATATGAATGAGCAGATTTTTGTGTGGGACATCCCCAGGGGACCTCACTAGGAAGCCCGGAAGATTGAGGACTCGTGAACTCAAGTCCCATCTATCACCAGCCTTATTTCTATTTTTTTTTAAAGATTTATTTATTTTATGCAAGATCTGGGGTACAGGTCAGAAGCGCGGGAGGGTGAAAGAATTCACCAGAGCCAGAGCGGGGAGCAGAACAGGCAGACAGAGCGAAGACACTGCTGAGGGAGCAGTGGGCAAGGCAGAAGAGGTCTGCTGCGCCATGTGGGGTTCTCTCTGGCCAGCGGGGAATGGAACCATTGCTGCAGAGGCTGCGGACAGCTTCGCAGCGCGGCGCTCAACCGCTGCTCCATCGGGAAGGCCCCAGACTTAGTTCTAAATCCTTGTGGCCCAGACTTGCAGGTGCAGTGGCAAGTCCTGGGCAGAAGGTCAAGGGAGGACACTAGCAGCCCTCTACCGTGAAACAAATCTAGAAGTTACAGGTGTATATTCTGTGCTTTAGGTGAGTCAGTACAAATCATGAATGGGTATGAGGGGGACAGGCATTTAGACAGGTGAAATTGGGATCTATGAGAAGAGGTTTATTTGCTGCCTTCTAAACACTGCTTTATAGAGAGCCACTTTCATCTCTTCTCCCACAGAAACTGGGCATGGAGGAACCTTTGCAGCTAGAAGTAGCACTCTGTGTCTGCAACTGGCAGCTAGGTGAGGTGATTCAGAAGAAGTACACATTTTTAATTTAGTAGATTTATAAAGCCATATACTACATTTCCCACAGCTCCGGGGCATGTATACAAATTAAATTCATAATTTAAAGTGGATGCAGGGAGAGCAGCAGCCAGGAGCACCGCTCACCAAGCACTCAGTGAGGCAGAGGAGGGCTGGGCACAGAGGCCCTCACTGCCTGGCATTGAGGTCTCCCCTGGGCCAGGCCCCCCAATTCCTGCCCAGAGAAGCAGACCCTCTGGTTACTACAGAAGCATCCACCTCACTCTTTCTAAATAATTCAGAAAACGCTTTAGGGGGAGAGCTGAAGGTTCTCAGCAGCCTGAAGAGGCCAGCCTACCAGCCTGGTGACTTAGGTTCTATGTATTGGATGCTGAAAATCAGCAAGTTGAAGCTGCCTAAAGGAGCCCCATGTTGCCTGTGGGAATTCAGGGCAAGTGCCGTCAAATCTGGCTTTTAAAGAGAAGCTGGAGCGTCAAACATTATATAAAATTTCTGGCTTGGCAGCTAATTCAGATTTTTTTTCCAACTCTATGTGGGCCAAATAAAACAGGACTGAGAGCCAGACATGGATTGTGTGCAGTGAGTTTGCAAACTCTGCTCTAAAAAGTCTTATTACTCTATAGAATGTTACATCCTAAAGAGGTGGAAGGGATGCATGGGGTGCATGAGGGGACAGATGTGGTTCACAGGTAAACAGAAAGCAGGCCAAACCCTATTCTTACTCTGCCAGTCCCATGCTTACCTAGTTGAGAGGTTAGTGACGGTAAGCTTACTGTTGGTGGCCTGTAGGGCTCTCCTCCTGGAGAGGGGGCCTCTGAGCAAATGTAAATAACCAACAGCCTAAGAATTGTGTGAATCATGGATATTTAACAATCCTAGACTCAGAGGTGTGGTAACGGTGCAGTCTGGGTTCCTTAACAGGATCCTGCCTCGGAGCCATCACACTCACCCCTTGCTCGGGTCCTTGAGGAGGCTGGACTTTCTATTAGGGTGCTCTTTCTTTGGGCCTTCAAATGCCTCCTCATCATTCAGGTCTCAAATTAAAGTTACCCCCTTGAAAAAGCCTCCTTGGCCATACTGGCAAAGAGATATCTTATGGACTCACCCTCTTGAATTTCTTCAGAGCATCCACTCTTGGACTCTAGGGTGATCTCATTTATATGTCTATTATCCGTCTTCCATCAGTAAAAGGCATTTGCTCTATAACTGGACTTTGACACGGTCACCCTGTCCCCTAACATCTAGAGCAGGCGTGGCAGCTGGCACGGCTTGGCTGAATGCTGCCTCCCACGAGAACCTGCTACCCCTCCTGTGTCATATATTGCCATTAGCTACCACTTCCCCTCCTTCCCTGGTTGGTGTTCTGCAACAGGAGAAAAGCTCGCAGTGTCTGTTATACCTTCTTATTCTGAGAACAATAAAGGATAAGGAAAAACTTCCCAGCATATGAGATTTGTTAGATGAGCAAGAAGAGGAGCATCCAGTTTGGAAGCATCTTTCTGACCAAAAACTTCCATTGCTTTAGTTATCCTGCACTCTTTCCCAGCTCCTGAAGTGTGCTCCCTGGCTGGGACTTCTTCACCTCTGCTTCTGGCCTCGGCTCAGATGAGAAACTGGTCAGAGAGCCTTGACTCTGCCCCCCTGGATCTCTTGGCACCCTGAACTGCCTCCGTCATGCCTATCATGCCGTGGGAGTCCCTGCCTACTCCCTGGCCAGAGCTGAGCATCTAGCAGGACGGCCTGGCGAAGAAGGGGGGAGAGTGGTGTGGAGGGGAGCTGGAGCGCACAAGTCCAGTAGCAGTTAGCATGTCCTTGCCGCTGACTAAGTCAGGTCCTGTGCCAATTCACCTCCCCTGAATCTCCCTACTCAGTCCTCATAATGTCCTGACAACCTGGCTATTGTTATTATCCCCACTTTACAGATGAGGCAATTAAGGAACCAAGAGGCTTAGTAATTTTTCTTAAGTCTTAATATGCAGTCAAGCCTAGATTTGCACCTGGGAAACTTGACTTCAAAGCTCTTGTTTCTTAACCTTGATACTTCACTGCCTCTCAACAGATGTTCAGGAAATATTAGTTAATAGATGAATGAATCCCACAGTGCCTCCAGTAAGCATCACAAAACCTGTGTTTACAGATGCTTTCAAATCATAATTTCCTTAATGATCATTATATTCTTGACTTTAAAGAGTAATCTAAGGGCACTCCCAGCTGAGTTCCTTAACCTTACCCATCTGCATTGGCAGTTGAAAACTGGCAGCATCAGTCTCACGGGAGCTCTGAGCTGGGGTGCTTTAGTTCAGTTCATCCCTGTATTTGGAAAGAAAAGTCAAAGAAAGCACGTGATGTGGACATGCAGTCTGTGCAGAGTCCAACCTCCGGTCTCACCTTGGTGGTGCCCTGCACTGACCCTCACTATCTTCGGCCTGTAGATTGCCTGTGCTGCTGTTGACTGTGTCAAAGATAAGAACCAGGACCTGTGTCAGCAAGAGGCCATCAAAGGCTACCCCACTTTCCATTACTACCACTATGGGAAGTTTGCAGAAAAGTATGACAGCGATCGGACGGTAAGCTGGGGAGAGGCTCTTTCTGCAGATGGGCAGGGGAGCGGCCATTGAGAAGGGGCAGCAAAGGGAGGCTGGCAGACACCACAGGAGGCACCTGGACTGTGAGCTTTGACACTCAGACCTCAGAGGACAAGGTCTCTGAGCCCCCTGGAAGACAGCTCCTGTTCCCAGTGTCAGCTGCCCGCACAGCTCTGCCCACCTCCCTCTGTCCAGCGGAGTGAGGGGTAGCAGTCAGGAAAGGGAAGTGAAGAGAGAGTGCACATCCATCCGTGGCTAAAGTTCCTTTTTGTGTTCTCCTCTCCTTCCCTACAGGAACTGGGATTTACCAACTTTATTCGAACCCTCCGGGAGGGAGACCATGAGAGACAAGGGAAGAAGAAGGAAGAGTTGTAATTTCTGCCTCAGAGAAAGCTTTTCCATTACACTGTGAATGATCCCTGTTTTGTTGTTCTTTCTGAATTTCCATGTTCTGAAGACAGAGTTTTTTATAGCCAGTTATGGCCATTTTGTACAATTTTGAAATAAAATTAAACCAATTGTTTGGTGGTGTGGGTTATTTCCCCAGAGCGATAACAAAGATAACACTCTAGCTTCTGTTCTGTCGCATCCTCTTCTTGCAAGTGGAGTGCTGTGCTCCCTGTCATGTCTGCAGAGACACGTGATGGCGGAAGGGTTGGGAAGGAGAAGGGGGCATGGACAGCTGGCCCCATCAGTCATTTGAGAGCAGATCAGGGAAATTAGACCACAAAATAGCCTGTTGGAAGGTGAATGATTGTGAGAGAAAATACATTAAGGTCATCAGGCAAAGTGGGGGTGCTGAAGCAAATGGTAACCAAGCATTAGATTTCTCTAGATCATTATGGTTCCAATTTTGGTGTGTTTTCCTGGAACTCATTTCCATATTTCCTTTTTTCTGGCTATTTCTGTCTTCTCTTCCTCTGCAGTCCTTTCCTGCTCTCCATTTTAAGAAAATCAGGTCTCCACTTCAGGGATACCTACAGGGGTTGTGTGGGGCCTGAAGGGGCATTCAAAATGGGGTAGGGGGTCTCCCTGGTGGCGAAAGGGGTTAAGCACAGCGCTGTGAAGCTATCTGCCGCCTCTGCAGGATGAGTTCCATCCCCAGCCAGGGAGCTACCAACATGGTACAGTAGACCTATCTCACCTGCTCCTCTCAGCAGTGTATTTCAGTCAGTCTGCCTGTTCTGTTCCTCACTTTGTCTCTGGTGAATCCTCTCACCCCCCACGCCTCTGGCCTGTACCCCAGTTCTTTTTTTTTCAAAGATTTATTTATTTATACAAGCACTGGTCAGAAGTGTGGGAGGGTGAGAGAACTCACCAGAGCCAGAGTGGGGAACAGAACAGGCAGACTGACGAAATACACTGCTGAGAGGAGCAGCGGGCACGGCAGGAGAGGTCTGTCGCACCATGTGGGACCCTCACTGGCGACTGGGGATCGAACCGGCATTGCAGAGGCTGCGGGCAGCTTCGCAGCCCAGTGCTCGACTGCTGCGCCACCAGGAGAGGCCCTGTACCCTAGTTCTTGTATGTGTAAATAAATAAATCTTTAAAAAAAATGGGGTAGGAGCCTTTGTTCAGCTGCCCTCTCTGCATACTGGCTGGAAGGGGTGGCATGGGGGACAGATTGGTGTAGTCTCCGTGCTCAGATACTGGGTCTGCTAATCAGCCCCCTGCCCCCACAGTAACCCAACCTCATACCACCTCTGTGACCAGCACCACCCTCAGTGCTGTGACACCTCATTCTCCCTCCTGCCTGTTATGTCTTTCCAACCCTCTTACCGTCAGTCCTCCAACTCTCTGCATCCCTTAGCCCCAGTGGGGCTGCCCTCTGTGTGTGTGTGCCCTGCTGTGCCAGGTTTTGTCTATACTTCCCCACGGGGAGTGAACAGTCTCATCCTACAGTCTCGAATTCAGTTACTGGGAGCGGTGCCAGCCCTGGGTTCCTTAGGTAGTTCAGAGATGAGGCTGCTGAAGCTGCAGTACTGGGCACTTTGGTGTCCTTGGGGGAGTTGGCATGAGAACAGCCCTCATTTCCTGGATGGGCCTCCTCCCACTTTCCTGCTGCTGAGTCCACTGAGCAGAGGGTCAGAGCCACTGAGTCTCTCCTGGCTGTACTCAAAGCACCTTAAAGTAAAACTGAAGGTTTGAACAGCCCTGGTTCAATGCAGTGTCCCAGCTTCCAACCCCTCCTCCTCTACCCCACCCAGTTCAACCGTTCTTTCCCCCCCTAATCACGTACTTCTTAGCATTGGGGCCTATTCTAGCCCCAGGTGGGTGGGTATGAAAGAAAGCAGCTTACTTTTGAATGCACATTCACTGAACTGCTTGCTTCATGCCATACGCTGTCATCCAGGGAACCACTTAATCCTGACTCATTCCTGCAGGGGGCTCCAGTGAGAGCATGTGTGCCCATGGACTTTCTGAATGGCTTTTTGAAATACTTGTGGGAGGGACATGTTTGCTTGTGTCTTCAAAACGAGTCTTTTTTTTTGTTTGTTTCCCCAAAATGCACCTTTAAAATAATACCTGACAAAAACACTTCCTGGCTGAGGACCATCTGTGCCCACCTTCAGTCCTAGCTATTGTAGTTCCTTTACCTTTTCATATAAATTTTAGAATAATTTTGTCTGAATCTGGGATCATAGCAGGACTTACATTTTAAGCCTGCATAACAAAAATCTCAAATAATTTAGAAAAATGTATAGAGGTGTGTGTGTGTGTGTGTGTGTATCCATTCTATACATGTGTATATACATATATACACAATAAAACAAGACAAAATGTAAATATGTAATGAATCTGTGCAAAGGGTATATACAACTTGTTATATGTAATGAGATTACATTAAAATAAAATAAAAAGCATTTCTATCCTCAGATTATAATGGAAAAAAGGGCACACCCTAAATAAATAAACCTAGCCACCCAGTTTAGCAGGGAAGAGCTGAGGTCAGAGCCCCCTAGGCTGCCCTGCTTGGGCTCTCAGTTCCTTCATTACCCCAGAGAGGGGCACAGAAGTTGTCTGGAAGTCTGATGAACTTGCCAGAAGGTGTCACCACAGTGAGAACACAGGCCAACCTCAGGGGTCCACAGCAACAGCACAAATGAGGTTTCCTTACTGTTCCAGAGAAAGAAGGAAGGGCCCTCAGGATGCCGGGATCAGAGCCAGTTGCCCCTTCAGCATCCACCCGGCCAGGTGCAGCCTTGACCAGCAGAGGGAGCAAAGAGCTGCGAGAGACCTGGTGTGGATCTAGGTCCCTTCTCCCAGGCTACCCAGGGGACAAATTGAACCTTTGGCCACTCCTCCTGGGGAAGGGAGAAGGGGAGCTCTAAAAGTCTGAGTACTTACCTAGTCATCCTGGAGTTACCTACAGAAAACACTCAATTGATTGGGTCAGAGGTATCTCTGTTCCACCAATATACGGTGTTTCTGCCACAAACTTCCTCGAGGTAAACCTGGGAATTTTAATTTTTAAAGACCTTTGAAAATTGCATTCTCGTCATAATTATAAGACCCCGTTAGTCCAATTGCTTTTTTTTTTTTTTTTGGTTGAAAATTCATGTCTCTTTTTTTAGCCTGACTGGATGTTTTAGATTCTATTTCTGTCTCTGGCAAGTTTTCTATCTTTCACTTCATATCACTTGCAAGTTTGATAAAGGTTAAAACATTGTGAAACATAGAGTGTAGCCCAATAGCAATTTCCTATCAGTCCTTTAGGTCAGCATCCCCAGGAACAGTCATTCAGCAAGTCCCCACTCAATTCTCTTGGCATCCAACCCACAATTTCCAGCCTTTCCCAAAAGATAACAATAAAAGATGCTGTCAAATATTTTGTTGAGGTCTGAGTAAACTATATCTACCACATTCCTCTGATGAATCAATCTAATAAACCCAGTGAAAGAATAATCATCCTTTATCCTTACAGTTTGGAAGCATTTTGAATCCCATTTCATTCTGTGCTCATCAACTACATGAGTTGGGACAAGGAGTTTAGGTAACTTGCCCAGGGTCACAGAAATGGTAAGTGGCAGAGCTCAGATGTAACATGAGGTTACTTCCTCTCCCATGACCAACAAATCTTTTAGTTGGTGATGCTTCCTTCTAGTGGTTGTTACTTCCTTTCTAAGCCCCCAGTAATTATTATTGAATTAACCAGAAAAATGCCTGCTCAATGAGTTTTCCTTTTCCTGGACCATGACTTAACTATTTTCAACATTGTTTTTTTTAAGATGTACTTTTATTTATTTATGCATACAAGAACTGGGGTACAGGCCAGAGGTGCAGGGGATGAGAGTATTCATCAGAGACAGAGTGGGGAGCAGAACAGGCAGATCTACTGAAATACACTGCTGAAGGGAGCAGCAGGTGAGACTGGAGAGGTCTGCTGGGCCATGCGGGTTAGCTCCCTGGTGGGTGATTGAACTCATGCCACAGAGGCTGGCCATAGCTTGATAGCACTGAGACTTTAACCCTTGTGTCACCAGGGAGGCCCCCATTTCCAACATTCTTTCAGGTTTCTGGGAGATTTGTTTGGATCAAAAAATATAAAATTATTTAGGGCCTCCCTGGTGGCACAAGGGGTTAAGACTTCAATGCATGAAGCTATCGGCACAAGTTCGATCCCCAGCCAGCCACAGAGCAACCTACATGGTGAAGCAGACCTCTCCTGTCTCGCCTGCTGCTCCCCTCAGTTCAGTCAGTCTGCCTGTTCTGTTCCCCACTCTGTCTCTGGTGAATCCTCTCACCACCACCCCCCACCTCTGGCTTATACCCCACCTCCTATATGCATAAATAAATAAATCTTAAATAAAAAAAAATATTTAGAGCAAACAAGTGTTTTCCTTTTATTGTGTTACCAATAAAGTGTTACCAATATCAATTTTTTAAAATTTGCTTTTATTTTGTATCGCTTCTTTGAAAAATATCAATACCTAATCAATATCCAGATATATGTAAAATATGATATATATATCATATGTAAAATTTATATTTTGTTATTTACATTGTGTGTGTGGATAAACACATAAACTGCTCACTTTATTGCCCTCCAGTTTCACATCCCAGAAACAACCACTATTCTGGCAAGTCTGATGTGCATCCTTCTGAGTGTTTTGGTTTTTTATTCATAAACAAATGTGTAATATGCTTCTTATGTGTATGTATGTTTGTGTGTGCACGGATAGTTGCATGCATACATAGAGTCAGAAAACTCTTTTCCTCTTCCAAATAGTATATAAATTCACTTGTGTTTTTCCTGGTATTTAAAAATGCATCTCAACTTTATTTTGATTTAACAAATGAGATAGGAACCCAGCCCTGTTCCATTACTCTACCTGCTCCTGTTTTAATTACTTTTTTATTTTTAGAAGTTTCCAGGCTGTTTTTGTGGGTTTAGTTTTTTAGTTTTTTTTTTTAGTTAAACTTTCTGTCTTGGATTTCAGTACCTTCTAACCAAAGATCATTCTATGTTGTCACTATAGTGCTCATACCCATTGTCAGAGCAAACAGAAATGAAAGTTGTGGAGCTTCACTTTCTTTTCTC